TTCAGCTTGTGGTTATAATTGCTGTAACCTGACAGGAGGCAATGCTGCTATGTTCCTTGCTGTCAGGCATAAGGTCTTGCCGTGGCAGTATTAAAATTGTCCCTACATAAGATCATAGGGAACTTGGAGAAGAGGAGAGGGATAACAGGAGGTGCAGGAAGAGAGGAGGAGCACAAGTGGAGGAGGAGTGGAAGGAGAAAAGTGACAGAAAGAGAAGGTGAGGAACTGAAAGAGGAGAAGAGGCAGAAAGAGAAGGATAGGAAGAGGAACACTTTTCATATGTTTATATTAAGTATGTAAAGGCCAAAAGGACAACATGTTAGTGATGTCGCATACATAAGGCTTTCATAGACAGTTGCATCTGCCTAAGACTCATTAAAAAACCAGGGTGTGATGCACAGTGGTTGTCCGCAACTTAGTTTGTCAGTAAGCAGAGGATGCACCTGATTTATCATTTCGATATTGTGTAAGTCTGCATGTAGATAGGTAATGATAAGTAACTGAGCTTTGTATGATGCACCTGTGAATGCATATGTATAAAGTTTTGTTGTTAACCTCTCAACTGTATATTTCTTATTAACATGTACCATTAAGCAATCTTTGCATGTATAGGTGAGCTAGTAGCACTACAGAGATATGAATGGGATCAGTGTGGCACCCTCACTCACAAGAAGTGCTCTGTTCCACAGAAATGCAAAATTGCATGCTGACACTAATTTTTGCCAGAAAAACATTGGGAAAATGTTGAACCATTAAAGGCAGTATGTGATGTACTCCAAGCAAGGCCCATTGTGCAGACACTCATTCCACATTAGACAGACCTTTGCTTGCAGGCAAATTTGTACTCCGACCACAAAAATTTTTGTACTCCGCCACCAGCAAAAAAAACTAAATTTCCCACCCTGCTCCCATTTGAGGTTTCTTCATGGCCGCCTGAATGACACTTTGGGCCTAGAATCATTCATTTCCTCCCCATGACATTCCAGTATCAAGGGCAAACTGAGTTTGGAGAAGGGGCAAGAAAATGGAAAATAACAAAGGATCCCCTAAAACCCTACAGCAATAACAGTCACCTCAAATTTGGTCAATTTTCTTCTTTAAGGAGCACACATAAAGGGGGCCCTGAAATACACAGAAAGGTGCACCACTATCCAGTACTCAAATAAAGGGGTCCCCAATGACATAGAAAACTGCACAGCTGTCCAGTACTAGGGAGTTCAGCCTTTTTTTCTAACAGGTGTGTTATGACAACCACTTACACAACAATTCAAATGCCATGGGATAAGGGCATCCATAGTAACCACAGCACTGTTCAGGGACCCTACCACAACTGGGATTAGAACCCTGCTTACCACATGACAGCCAGATGTATTTATCACCAGGCAACTGCACCCTCAGGTTTAATTTTCTATGATGCAGAAACACAGAAAATTGGCTTTGACTAGGTGAAGACGATTCGATTACTGTCTTATGTTTATGGCCAATATAACCTGCTTTTTTGACTCACAACTTCCTTTCATCATTTCAGTAAATAAATTGCTGAATCTGGAGATTTTTTGGCAGGCATCACTGTATAGGCCTCACACATAGTCATGCTCAATTTTGGATGGTGTATAAGCCTGATGCATGGCTGCCCTCTGTTTTGGAGCATGTATAAGCCCAGTAAATAACCACCCTACAATTTGAAGGGTTTATATGTGCTGCCTTGAATAAGTTAAGATACACAACAAATTGCAACAACAAAACAATATCACCTGCCCAAAGCATTCCAAAGGTTTTTGTCAGTCTGTCCAATTTGTAGATTTGATTTTGGGAAAACTTCACATTCCAAAAAACTGGAATCCAAACCGCACCTTTCTAGCAAGCATTAACCCATCATTACATGTTATACTGCAGACGCTTGCTTATAAGAGATTGACACGGAGAACATTTATTATACATGACTAAAAATCTGTTTCTAAAGCGCAACTAATGTTGACAATGTACTGAGGAGTCTACTTGATATTATACAACATTTAATTAACACAACGATCAGCCAAAGCTCTAGTTATTCTTACGACCGCGCCGCCTTGACCATGTGCGACATAAATTGCGCATTGCCGAAGAACAAAATGCTGGACAATTATTCCCTCCTACATTCGACTGGAGACAGCGAAGACTTGAACATACTTACATTTTACCGCTGGAGTACAAATAAGAAGCAACGAATGCAAGGGCCGTTGCAAGAGCGCGCCCGCGACACCAGCAGCCCCACACCACTGCGGCAACGTATCCCGACCTCGCACCGGCTAATGCGGCAAGGCTCCGGCAATACGTTCTTTTTCGTTCGTGCGCAGCTTATTGCGCACATTCGTGCGCAAAACATTCGATGATTGCGGTTTGCGGGATGGTGGTATATGGAATCTGAACAGAAAGTACACGGCATAATTCCCACGTTTCAGTATGAGTTACTACACTCAATTAAGCACGAGAAATCACAAGTGGTAATGCTTCAAAATAAAGAGCTGTGCTAGGAAAAACGTTATATGACGTCAATAAATGTGGCTTAAGCAAAAGATGACAGACCCAAAGATGACTGCACGCCCTGATTGCACGCTACGAACTCGTCGATTCCCGCCGCGTCCTTGCTTGTTTTGATGAGTGCGTAGTAGCGTGGGCCGCAAACACGTGCGTTTGCTGATGTTCTTGGGAGAAATTGGAGAGCGTGTTTCACCAGTCGCACCTACCCGTTCTACATGCGAGGCTTAGGATATTGCGCGGGAGTTTGAATCTGAAGTTAGCTGTGTCGTGTTTTTAACTGCCGGAGGCGGTCCTAGGTAAACAAACAGTTTTAAAAGGAGTACGCATTCACCGGCCAACATCCCGAAACGTCGGGCTGGGACCATCTGTCAGAGACTGAACCACCCTATCATTGCACATTATGCATAACCCTGGAAAAAGCCGTGAAATATCTGAATGACCATGAAGAAGTGAAGTCATTGTAAGATGTTTTAGGCATTCAAAGAATAGTCCCCATCAATGGGGGTGTGGTTTTGCCAAGAAGTTTTGTTTTGGGGGAGTTGGTTGGGCTGGTCTGGGGAAATTGCATAATGTGTCCCCAAATGAACCCTGGAAAAAGTTTCTCCCCTTTCCCTGCTTTCATCTCAAAATTGGAGTGCCTAAAGGCCACCAATTGGACAGGGAATTACATCCCTACCAGAAGTCATCTGATACATCCAGTCATTACCCATGGAACCACTTGCCATCCACTCATGCTATTATGAACAAGCTTGCAAAAGGCCCAAGTGCTGCACTGCAGCTGGAAAGCCATTGTGCTCTGATGCTTGAGTACATGTCATTCTTCCAGTTCCTGGTAGATGGTAAGACTAGGTGGTAGATGGGATGCTAAGGCTGCTGATAGCATGGGTTTAGGAACAATGGGATGGGGAGCCACATCCCCCAATTTTTGAATGCTTAACATTACCCATAGGGCAATGCTCTCTTAAGAGAAGTGAGCTTAAAGATTGCCATTTCCTCTCCCCATACTTCATGAGTCATTCACTTTATGGCAAATAAGGGAGAAAAGGTAACTGTTTGATATTTTTCAGCTGCTTTCACACACAGAACTTGGGTTTATCACTAGTTCCAAGGCTTTGCATTCAGCTTTGATTTTGCTGAGTAGTGCCTATGCTGTGATTGTCTCATGTGCCTTTGGGCCTTTCCATTGATCATGCACCAGTGGCTTTGGGTCTTTCAGGTCAGCCTCTGTACTCAGTATCACTGATGAGGAAAGGAAGGTGGTCTGTCTTTGCCTCCCTGGTGATAATGATTATCTTGTTTTGTTATTTTTCCCACAAATAACAGTCTGCACCCATAGATAGCAGGCAGGAGACATGCACCCAGAGATACAGGCAGGAAACAAACTAACCTTGACTTTCTTTGGCTTTGTAAGGATATAGCTGTGCCAGTGACATGTGTTTCAGCAATCAGTGATTTTTCATGGCTGGCTTTTGCTTTTGCTTGCAGCTCCCACATGCTGCATCACGTGCATAGCTGATAACAAAACCAGGCAGTGATTCTCAAGGGCAAATAGCACATTTACAATGACCAATTGATGGCAGTAAGAGAAATGCCTGCCTGAAATGTTGTGTACCTTCTAACTCACAATATAAGGGTATCTTCAAAAATGTTTTGTCATTGACCATCTTCAATCACCCTTATAGCTCAAAGTTACTTAATGGAGCAGGATGATATTTGTTCACCTGCTTGAGCCATATTCTTTGAAAATAGCCAGATTGTTTTCAAGCACAAGCATATACCTGTTAACCAATTTTGGGATCCAATGCAGCTCATGACTCACAGCCATTCCATTTTTCAGCTTATTTTGGACACTGCTTCCATTAAATAACTTTGTTCATAATTCAGGCAGTGTGCCGCAGGGTGCTGGTAGTGTAGTGGTTAACGGTGTGCCGCAGGGTGCCGGTAGTGTAGTGGTTAACGGGTGTGTGTTAACCACTGCGCGTCTGGGAAACCAGGGGTACAGGGTTCGATTCCCCGCGGCGCCCGCCCTTCCTGCCGCGGCGAGAGGCAGGCGACGCCATATAGCCTCAGCAGCTGAGTGCGTCGTAAAGCCCCAACGACATGACATAACATATTATTACCATTTAACTTGGTTTGCACACTGCCCGCAGATCACCAGGTCTTCTCGCCAGAACTGTAAGGTCATATGATCCATTATCAAAGGATAAAACATATGGGATTTTTAGCTGTAATGGAGTTGGCACTCTGTCGTGACATCAGTCTTGGGACCTGCCAGGAGCCCAGGCAGAAGTAATTGTCCTCATCTTCCACTCTCGGTTCTTGCAGGGTGCTATATGCTGGTCCCAAGGTTTAAATGAGTACCTTTCAGCCATCCTGCATGCGAAGGTGGTGGGGTCGAGGGAGGTCTGATAGAAATTGCTCAGCCTTAAAGTGATGGACCCTGCACTAGCACACATGCAAAATAAAGTTAAGATGTGGAATGCACCAAACATGTGTGGTGCAATTACTTCCTGGGCATCTTTAATGACAAGACAGCTTTGAATTTGCTGCATGCCTTGTGCTCATGTCAAGTGCCTGTCACCAACAGAGGTGTTAATGCTTCATGTAGAATGCTGTTGCATGGTCCATTGATGGCCAAACTGTTCCCCTCAGTGGTGGGGCTTGCATCCCAATGAGAGACTTCAAAGCACTGCATAGTTAATAGCACCCACTATTTTCAGACCAGCATGTCTCCCCCAAAGCTGCTGGCCTGTCATGCCTGCTCGAGAGGTTACATGTCCAAAGGTGAGCATTGCCACATGCCCTTGCCACAAGCCCTTGCCACAAGAGCTATGGTTGTGGATATGCATCCTTGTGTGTAGTTTGTGTTTGGTGCAGATAGTGCGCTCTCAGTATAGCTGGACTCCTCAGCTGGGTGGTGTGCTCTACCTCTTGCACATGTCCGAGTGCCGTGCCTCGCCCCCGGCAGTGACGGCCCAGAACAAGAAGCGGTGTCCGGCGCTACTCGACTGCGGCCACAGCGTCTGCGAGGGGTGCGTGCGCAGCGCGGCCAGCAAGGGCCCGCTGCTGGCCTGCCCGCAGTGTCAGCAGGTGGGCACGCTCGGCGCCCGGTCTGCGCGCGCGCCAGACGCGCTCCAGTGGGAGAGCGCTGCTGCTGCTCGCCCTGGGCTGATGTCGTGCAGGCGTCTGGCTGTCCGGGTTTGTTTGCTCTCCATGTGCGATATGTGACTGTGGGGTTCTAGGTAGTTCACATAATTAGTTGCATGACATAGTTGAAATTAGGATGATAATCAGAGTAGGTTTCTTTTACAAATGCTTTTTTCTATTTTTTGGAAGGTGCAATTCATTGATGTGTTATTGAATGAAAGCTGGGACGGATGCTACCTACAACACCCCCAACCAGACCGTGACTCACGATGGCAATAGGCCTTCATGGTGGTAACGAGGTTTATTGCTCCCAGTTAACAGTTGTGGAGGACAAGAAGCTGCCATCAGACGCCTTCATCAATGGCTGTCTCGTTATCAACATGAGACCACCGCTTAATGAGTAAGTAATCGCTGCCATCGAGTCGAGTCGGGGTTAGTCTATGACGTAATGAGACTGTGAGGTGATTATATTATCACGAGGACAAACTGACGGCCATTGCACCGCCTTGCCGACCGTAACGACCAGAGCACTGGTAAGTGCGCTTCAGTCGCCTCTGTCGCCATGGCGACCGACGACCAACGGCGGCGGGACCAGTGTAACGCAGACTTCATTGGCAGGGACACTGTCGGCTTCGTCACGCAGAGGAAGCCACGGCGCGTGTCGGAGAAGGCGCTGAACTCGGCGGTGTCCGAGAAAGGTAAGAGGCCGGCGACTCCGACCAGCCCCCGGACGCGCCGGGCAAACTTCCTACACTGCAAATTGCGATGTTTTTGGAGCTATTTTCAAAACTTGACATGTTGTAGCCCAAATATATAATTATGATTCGCCCTTGGGTCTTGGGGTATTGTATTTGATTGCACAGGTTTCATGTACATATTTCAATTTGTGGTATTTTTGTTTAGTTATGTTTAGTTTTTGGTCCACCTGACCACAGATATTGGGCAAGACGATTGTTGACTTATTCAACCAGCACTTTATTGACTTCTCGTAAATCCTTTTAAGATATTTCAACAAAACATGGGGTGGCGGGGTCAAATAGCACCACATACGCCGACACCGCGGAGGGACAGCAGATGTGCTCGCTATTCGCAGATAAATGCGAAGAGTGCAATGTGAACCACGGTTCACTGACCTGCCCGAAATGCGAAGACTGTCGATTTTGTCAGAGCTGCTTCAACAAAGTGAGTGCAAGCGGCATGGAAACCTGTTGGAAGCGCCGAGGGAAAGTGAGTGGCTCGCTAAACCATCTCTGGTTCAACCACTTCTGGCTCATTTTTGAATTGTTTTTAGACGAATTATTTGTCGTAAGGAGCGGCCTTGTGCATGGTCCGATGTATGCATTCGTTCTGAATCATAATTGACGCTGAAAATGAGTCATCAGCTGGCAGCCATCGGCTCTGCGCTCAGGTACACCAGGGGTCGAGGCTCCTGTCGCGTCACGTTCCGCGCGCGGCCACACCGGCGGCGGCCGGCTCTGGCGACGGTGGCGCCGCGGCGGCCGACCAGTACTGCCCTCTACACGAACGCCGCCCGCTCGAGTACTACTGCACGGATGACGACGTGGCCGTGTGTTCGCACTGCTCCATCTCTGGCGAGCACAAGGGTCACACCGTCGAGACCGTCAGCGAGCGGGTGCGTGGCTCGCCCTCTTCCGGCGCCAAACGCCCGTTCCCATCGGGAGGAACGTGCAGATGTGTGCGTCTGCGCTGTGGCGTTGGTCGTACTCGCGCATGTGACCCGCGATGCTCTGCTGTGGGAAGCGCGGAATGACGCGCATCCGTTTTGCAGTGTGTGGTAGATTTCTGATTGCTCCCAAGTCCCCTCTGCTTGCATAGTTGCCTCGATGGGTTTCGTGCCGGCGCCGTGGCGTGCGCACGTGGTTGAGTGGGCGAGTTATTGGCGCGTTAAGCCTGGTCACTGGTGCCTCGCGTGCTCGGGTCAGACGGCGGGTGGCCCGCTGCGCGTGCGGTCGGGTCTGCCGCGACCCGCGCCGCCCCGGTCGCTGACGGCCGTCTCGCCCGCCGCCAGAACGCCCGACGCCGGCCGGAGCTGCTGCAGGCGACGGAGCGGGCACGCAACACCTACCTGCGCCTGCGCATGGCCGCTCAGGTGAGTCCCGCCCGGCCGGGCGGGCGGACGGGCGGCGCCGGTCGGCGGGCCGGTTGCTGACGGGGGCGCCGGGGTCGGGTGCGGTCTGGCCTCCCTGGGCGGGCCGCAGGTCGCGCTGGCAGCTGACCGACTCTGGCACCTCACGGGTCGCCCGCTGGCGTCGAAGTTGGCCGGCGTTGGACAACGCGCTCAGCTTGACGGCTTACCAGCGGCTTGGAGTGACGGACAAAGCTCGGTCTGACCGACCTGTCCGTGACGCGGTATTGAACCAGCTCGCGGCGGCTGATTTGTAATGAGCCATTTGCGATCACCAGTGGCCTGTATGCTACGACCTCGTCATTTGACATTGGCTGCCATTTACGCATGCCTCCTGTGCTCAAAATGCACCAAGGGAGCGCGTTTGGGCGCGGAATCGCCAAGTCGTTACACCCTTACAATGGCACCGTTAAGCTTCATCTGAATGCCAAACAGCATCTATGAATAGAACCGTGCAGGAGGAAATGCTGAGGAATGTTCTGTTGGCATAGCGGCTAACGTTAGACGGTTCTGACGTTCGAGCAGTGATGAACTGATCTTCCCTACGGCCCCATCTTTTGTCTGGGTGCTGCAGTACACACTCAAATTGTATTTTGGAGCCGAGACGGAATGCATAACCCATTACCGCACAATGCGCTGGTCGCACAGTGCGCTGGGCTACAGCGGGAGCAAACCAGGCGACTGGGTCGGGAATAATATATATATTTCTGATAATGCAGATTTTGTGGTGTATTCTAAACTAACGTCAGCAACAATTCCTCTCACCAGGCAGTGTCTGGAAATATTTGATCTAACCAGCATAGGCTATCTTTCCTTCCGAAGTCTTTCAACTTCCCGTTGAAATGCGGCGTTTGGACCGCGCCGCTCAGCGTCGGCTCTCAGACTACCCCCAGTGGCACGCTGACAAACAGACCCGCTCGGTGCGTCAGGTTGGGACGCTGCACTCTCACCTCACGCGCAGCACTTTTCACAGACCCGGTAACAGAACGGTCAAGGTATCACGCGAATGTTTGTGGCACATGGGGCGTCCCGCCTCTCGCGGCGGGTAGCGAATCAGTGTCTGCGCGCCCTCTCACTAGATGGCGGTGCGATCACCAGGGCGCGTACTGCGTCAGCTCTTTCTTGACGGGGCCGATGCGACGGCTGTTCGTTATGCTTGGACTTGCGCTCGAGCGCCTTCAGCTTCAGGTAGAGCGCCTGGTCGCGCTCAGTGAACCAGGGCGGGAAGTCGTGCGTCTCCAGGAACTTGATGGCCTTCAGCTGGCGGCCCTGGTTCCAGCTCCCGCAGGAACTTCTCCTGCAATAGGACAACGCGGTCAGCGGCTGCGGCGGCTCGTCTGTCGCCGCGAGCGCCCGCCGGCCTGACGTAATCGACCTGGGTCAGTGCGGCAACCCGGGACCGTTAGCTCTTGTAACCGGCGTGGTGGTCACGCCGCCAGTGCGCGTCCCCCCCCCCCTTCTCCGCCGGCGGGGGGGAGGGAGGGGGGAGTGGCCGCCAGACCAGGACCGCCGGCGCCGGCCGGTCGCCCACCCCGGATGGGCTGCTTAGCCCGCTGGTTAGCGCCCGACCACGCAGCCGGGCTCGAATCAGACCCGCGGCACCGGCGATTGAGTGCGAAGGCCGTATGGAGATTGTGCGCCCGTGTGCCGCACGGGCCAGGCCGCGAACGGCGGGCGGTCGCGGCGCGGCCCGTGCAGACGGTCTGCAGCCGCTGCCGGCCGGATGAAAGCGACGCTGATTGGCGCCGCGCGCCCATCTTCCGCCGCTGTTCACGGATGGGATGGCTGCAGCCGGCGAGAGGTCGACAAAGGGCCGGTGCCGCTGCGCCGCGAGCGCGTGTGAGCGGCGGCGGCCGGCCGGACCCCGCGGACGAGGCGGCCATGCTCGGTACCGCCGGGGCCGCGCGAGGCGTCGGGGTCGGCGCTCTATTGAGCCCGGCGCCGGTGAGGTAACGTCCGCCGACGCCGGCGGGGGCGAGCCGCCGTCGTGCGCGCCGTGCCGGCACCGCCATTGTGGCCGGCCCCGGCCGGTGGTGTCGGCAGGCGCCGGGCGGACGGTCCGGTGGGCCGCGCGCGGCGCCTTTCAGAGCCGTCCGGCCGCTCCGCGCGCCGTCGAATTGGATCGGCTGGCGGCGTCGGCGGATGGTGCGGACGCCGCGCCGGCCGCCAGCCGCCGGCCCGCTTCCGCCTGTGTCGGCCACCGCCGGCCAAGGCCGCGCCGCGCTTGTGGCGCCGACACGGCCAGCGGAGCCGGTGCGCCAGCGAGACGCGAAAGACAGCGGGTGTCGCGGCGTCCCCACTGCGCTTAACGCGCTCTTCGCGCCGGACTCTCTGCTCACTATAGGCATGTCATCACTGGTCAGGAGCCAGTTCGCGAAGGGATTTATGGCTTTTCATTCGCCCCGATTTTTTGCTGCCCTTTTGTGACTAGACCTGAAGGGTTGACTAGAACCTATTGATGGTGCGGCTTCCAGTTTATTTCAGCTGACCCCACAGTGAATGTGGTGTCGAGAAGTAGACGAATCACTGTCACTGAAAAGCCACAAGTCAGCTCATGGACATGCTTCAGGCGATCACCTGATGAAGCATCCGCCCTGTCCGGATGCGTGGTCCGTGCTGTCGGCGTCCCTGAACGGGCCCGGTGGCGCGCGGTGCCCCTCCCCGCAGCGGCTCCCGACAGGCTGCCGGTGGCGTCGCCGGTGACGTCGGCGGCCCGGCCGAGGGCCGGCGCTGCGCGGCGACAGCCCGCTCCCTCCCGGACACAGTCGGCCTGCTGAATCACGCCCGGCACGGGGGACCTTCTACCACGCCCGCCGGCGCGCCGGTCATCCGATGCGAGCTTGCACAACGGCGGCGACGTGAACGTGTCAGCGATGCCGTGTCATTGGGCCAGACGGGCAGCTGATGGCCGCGCCATTTATGCCAGGTGGTGCACGATTTACGCCATCGGCATGCTTGGCGCTGAGACCTGATCGGCACGGGGGGGAGGGAGGGGGGGGGGGGGGGGGGGCAGTACCAGCGGACTACCGTGTTAGAGACACCTGTGCTGCCAGCTACGCAAGCTTATGTGGGGGTACATGACGGGTTATGCCACGAGCATTTGGCGTATTGATGGGAATCAGGGTGGAATGCCGCGCAGTGATCGGCAGCTGTTTCGAAAGCTTTCGTTAAGCTCATGTGGACCAACTCGCCGTTGGAGAGGGATAAGACAGGCATGTGTGATGGATTGCTTTGGTCTTTGGACAACCAGTCTAAATCCGTGTCTAACTCATCGAGCGGCGTTGTCTGTCTGGTTCGTATCCGTCTATGGGCGCGCGTGCGCACCAATCGGTGACGAAGTGACGGTTCGACGACGACGCATGACTATCCCCTCCGCCCTGTTGGGAGATGTGCATTATTGTGTTTCAGAGCGTACCCCCGGAATTTACACACACAGCCGAACAGTTATGTGCCCCTCAGACCCAAATCACCATCGCTACCAGGGCGCCCCGATCCCGTACGCACCTTCCTGTAGGTGCGCTCCTGGTGCCGCTGGTAGATGTACCAGTCGACGATGGGGCCCTTGAAGTCCTCGGGGAACGTCTTCTCGGGCGGCGCCGGCAGCAGCGACAGCGCCTCGTTGGTCACGTACAGCTGCACGGCGTTGTTGCAGTCCACGTTGAACCACCAGTCGCAGATGAACGTCACCTGGCTGAACACGGTGCCGTTCGGGCACAGGAACGAGTGCTTGTGGCCGTCCTGGTCGCAGTAGTGCCACACCTGGAACGGCGAGGGGTGCGGTCACGCGCCGACAACCGGGGTCGTAAGGTCACGTCCGGGAGGGAGTGGGCTGGACAGGGGGTGGGGGAGTGGGTTGGGGGGGGGGGGGGGCGAGGGGACGCGGGCGGCGTTCGGAGCCGGCCGCCGGGAGAGATACGATACTGCCGTCGCCACAAACGCGGTGCTCGGGAGAGATGCGGTCTCGCCGTCTCCGCTGCGCTCCGTCACGCCGTGCTGGCGCCACGGGGGTGGGGCGCTGCCGCCGTGCTGGGAGACGATGGGACGGCCGCTCGCCGTCTCGGACGCGTCCCCCGCCGCCCGTGCGTCATCATCCGCCGCCGGCGTCAGTGTTGGTCAGCGTCAGGTGGCCGCGCCCCGCTCGGATCAGCAGCGCCGTGACCCGCCGGCCCGGTCGGATCAGCGGCTGTGGGAGCGGCAGGCCCGCGGTCAAGACGGCAACCCGCCGGACGGGCCGCGGCGCGGAGTGGCTTCGCTCGCCCTGGCGCGCGCCCCGGCGGGCGCGCCGGCCGCGCACCGGCGCCACCGGCCGCTGCGCGGGGCCGCAGCCGTTCGCGGCTCGGGTTCAGACTCGCCAGCCGGGCGCAGCTCGCCGGCGACGCGGCGGAACGGAGGCGGGCGCCGCCGGCCGCTGTCGGGGTGTCGGGAACGGCGCGGTTACGCAGCCGGAAAGGGAGCGGCGATACCGTGGGGAGCCACCTCCCCGCCCCACCCGCTGGACCCCCATGGGCGCCGGCCGAGCCGAACGGTGGGCGCCGCGAAGGCTGCCGAGGCGCCGCCGTCCGGCGACGCGTAAAACACGGAAAGGAGAGCGCTTCGTGCTGCGACAGCGTCGGGATAAACATTCAAGCTGGCCGCCGGGGCCCGACGGAATCGATCAGCGCTGCTGAGGGCAATGCTGATGCGGCGGTGGTGGAGTCAGGTTCCGGAGTGGCGCTCACTTCGCGGTGCGAACAGAAAAAACACTCGTGGCGGCGAGTGGCGGCCGCGTAAACAGCTGAAGAGCGGTGCTCGTGTGGGGTCCTTGGGCTCGAGTGGAATGCGATCGACCGCCGTGAGAAGCGGCTCGACGCGTCGCGCACGCAGAAACCGCGCCGCGAATTTCTGCGCCGGCGAGGTCAGTGGGCGCGGAATCCGGGCGCTGGAGGCCGCCGGCCAGAGGGCGGTCTCCGGGTTGCTGGAGAGGG